CGAAAGAGGCCCTGGCCAAAGCAGAACAGGGCCGTGCGGAGCTGGCTACAGCACCTTGACATCATCATAGACATAGTTATAGTTATAGTCATAGTCTTTGTTTCGTGGATTTGTTTCTACGTTTTCCTATCGCTGTGTGTCACTGTGCTGTGAAACGCTCACTACATGTCTGCTGGAGCTTTTGGGCGACTGGGGGCTTCATGGCGCGGATTTCGGTTGGAGGCGAGACTGGTACTGTATCTGTATGATATGATGCAGCTATATCGCTGCTCATTACCGCATGATCTGTTCGTACGTTGTTGTATAACCGTCCTAGAACGATTTCATATGAACTGTGATCTCTGTTTTCGTACACAACACGTTTCATGTATGGCTGCGTGTTGAACTTACAGTGCACGCACTCAATAGCTTCCGGCACATGCCGTTAAAGAGTTGCTGTGACATGAAGTGACATGCTGTTGTGTTTCTGCACTTGACTTATACCATGACAATGTCAGTTATTGTCATTAATGCTGCCACCTTTGCTCTATTGGCTTATTGTGTGGCTGTGTCAGTATGTAGCAATCTCGTGCCGCACTAGAGTCACTAGACTCGTGAAGCACTGTAGCTCATCGTATGAGCATCTTGTTTGACCTGGGCGGTCTGTTTTCTGTGGCTATATCACTACATGGCTGTATTGTGGAATGACTACATGTTTATTGCATTTTCAACTTGCAGCGTGGGAGGTGGGGAGGGAGGGAGCATCATGCCATGGCAAGACGTCGTAAGCAATCTGAGGAGTACCTCGCAAAGGAGAAGGTCCTTCACGAGCATCGGCTGAAGCTACTGGACGAAGCCAAGGCGGAGCTTTGCCGTTCTTCTGGCTTCCATTCTTGCCATTTTGCACGTCATTATATTGGCAGTTGAGCACAGCACTCATCCTCACGCCCGCAACTTCCGAAGGCGCTCCGAGTCCAAAGCCCTAAACCCCTAAACCCCCGAGCCCTAAGACACTCTATTTTTGGGGGGGTTCCTTATTATATTCATAGTTTCATGGGCCCTAAAACCCTTTTCTAATTATTAAACCCCCGAGCCCTAAGACCCGTGTCGAGGCAGCCGTGACTTCCGAGCAGAGGTTCCGCGCAGACACCGAGGCACGTCATAGCAGAGGCCCCCCTAAATACGATTGATGGTATATAAATCCTGCAGTACCTTAACTCTAAACTATGGGAATTATGGTAGAATCTTGATTACGGGTAGTGCCAAGTTCATATCATCAACCGTATCTCTGAGACACGCGCGAGCAGAAGCTTCGTCAGGCGGCTCTGGCCGTGGCCAAGCGAGAGTTGCAGGAAGCCAGGGAGGCTGCTGGGAAGGTAGAACGGTAAGGGCTGGGTACCTTTCCTCTCCGTCATGACGGCTTTGTGGAGATGCAGCTATGATGACCATGATGGTGGTGATGACGATGGCTACGGCGATGACGATGCTGATGACGACGACCAGGATGATGATGATGATGATGATGATGATGGTCTCCGTCGTGACTGTGGTGATCATTGTTAGTCTTCGTCTTAGCGGTGCTTCGGATGGCTACACGTTCGTTTTAGGCAGGCCATGGGGGTGTTTAAGCACTTCACTGTAGGGGTTCATGGAGGGACGGTTCCTGTGTGGAAACTGAGACGTCGGCAACTGTCAAGCCACCGCGATAGCGACATCCATGTGCTACTTGGTACTGGAGTGCGGATCATGGGGTATGCAAGATGCTGATTACCAGGATCTGTACTCTGCAACAGTGCATTTCGAGTAGACACCAATTTCGTCGAACTCTTATCCAGGTCAAGAGTATCTACTATAGGAGCCTATTAGAATAGGGTTGGGGAGGATATTATAATAAGGAGCCCCCAAAACCTTATTCTACTTATTAAGGCCCCTACATTACCTCCGTCTAAACCCAGCAAAGCTTGCTGAAGAGCTCCTGCAGGCTTTGGCACTGGAGGCCACAGCGCGAAGGAGTGCCGAGGAGGTGCTGGAAAAGCAGAGCCTCAAGGCCTTTGGGGTTGGGCGGTGGGGAGTTGGGGAGTTGAGGTTTCGGATCGAGGATATGGGATTCGAGTGCAGGCATCTGGGTAGAGAGGTTCGGGCTACAGGTTATGGTGTCGGATTGTAAGAATAGCAGCACAAGTTCTGCCCCGGTTCTACCAGCGGGAGGAAGCGTAGTCTCACTTGTGACGATAATGAGCCAGAAGCAAGAAAGCCAAGCACGACAGCACGACTGGATGATGATGGTGACCACCACCATCGTGACTTACAGCACCAGCGCCTTCACCAGCACCAGCACCAGCACCAGCATCGTCGTCATCATCATCATCACCATCATAGCACACACACACACAAGAACGGACATAGACTTACAACAGGCCACAGCAACGGTGCACAACAACAACAACAACGACAGCAACAATAACATCAGCAACAACAGCAGCAACAACAACAGCAAACACACCAACAACACCAAAAACACCAAACGCACCAGGAGCAGCACCACCACCCCCGCGACACAGCAACAGCAACAGCAACAGGAATAGCAACAGCACTCACACAACACTATAGGTGCCTCACAAGAATGACAGTGACGCCTGCCATACTGACAGTAGGGGAGAGCCGATGTCATAAGACATCATAGCACCAATGATGAGCGCAAGCATGGCATGTGAATATATCAGTAAATCCAGGTTTTAGGTTAAGTCGAGCAGCAACAGCAGCACCAAAACCACTAACTATATCAGCAACCCCTCAAAGCTGTTGCCACCGGAGAATCGCGATCTAGCATGTCATTTGCGACGATGGTGAGGACATGTGACAAGCTGCGCTAATACTGAGCAAACAGCAGCCATGCTCGCCATGCTTTTCTCAGACTCCCAGCTTCTTCAATGTGAAACTCCCGCGCCTTCGTGCTAGGTCGAAGAGCTAGAGGCCGTGCTTCAGGAGGACGAGGCACGAAAGGGGCGGCGGCTTGGGGTCGGCTTAGGAATCCTTTGCTTGCTGTGTGTGGCCGAAGAAGCCCTGTGCAGACGTTGGCGGTCCTCGACGAGTTTCGAGAGAAGTCAGAGTCCCAACGCCAGCAGCTCAGACAAGGAGCTGAAGAGCGTTCCTTACCTTAGCAGCTTTCTGGGCTAGTATTGCTGGCACGTGGCACCCTGAGTCAGTGTTGCCAGTTATGAATCTTCCGAGGGCTGCACCTTGGGTTCTCGCAGGCACGTGACTGCGTGGTGGGATTTCTCTCGTGGCACCCCGGGTGCCCTCAGTATAGACGGGCACCGACCCTGCTGATAAGAGAGTCCATGAGCCGTTTGAGACAATCCCTTCACAGCTTTGGGCTTGGGTTTAACCACAAACAACCGCTGCAAGCTCAATGCCCGAAAAGGTGACCAGCGCAGCTCCTGCGGTGTTGAGACAGAGAGGGGGGCAGCGACAACTTTATAGGGGCTTGAAGAACTAGTAATAAGATACCCCGTCAACCCCTAACAAAAATAGTTATGCGATAGCTAGTATACCCTATCCTACCCCTACATTCGCCAAGACGAATGTACGATAGCATACCCTATTCTACCCCTATATTCCCTTTACACCAAAGTACGATAGTCGACCCCGAAACCCTAAACCTTAAACGCCTAAACCCTAAACACCTATTTAAGCACCCCTAAACCCTAAACCCTCAGACTCAAGTTTTCTGGCAAGGTCGGCAGATCGCCTCGCTGCGGAAGCAGCTGGAGGCCTCGGAGGCCCCAGGGGGTGTGGGTTTAGGGTTTCTTGAGTTCAGGGTTTAGGGTTTGGGTCTAGGGTTTGGGGATTCTGGAGTCGGAGGGGTTAGGGTACAGGGGGTTCTCGAGTTTCAGGGTTTAGGGGTTCTTGAGTTCTTGAGTGCAGGGTTTAGGGTTCAGGGGTTTTTGAGTGCAGGTTTCAGGATTCAAGGGTTTTTGAGGTCAGGGTTTGGGGTTTAGGTTAGGGGTTTTTGATTTCAAGGTTTAGGGTTAAGGGCTTCTTGAGGTTCAGGGCTTCTTGAGCTTCAGGGTTGGTTCTTGAGTTCAGGGTTTAGGGGTTTTTGAGTTTCAGGGTTTAGGCTTACGGTTAAGGGGTTCTTGAGTCTCAGGGTTTAGGGTTTGGGGGTTCTTGAGTCTGAGGGGTTAGGGGTTCTTGAGTTCCAGGGTTTAGGGTTAAGGGCTTCTTCAGGTTCAGGGTTTAGGACACCGCGGCTCAGAGTGATGGGGCTTGCCGTCTCAATTCGTCTTCAGTCTGCAACCTCTGTCTCTGGGAGGAGGAAGCATCTTCCACTGCAGCAGCATTGCAGGAAGTGAGGCGGGGCACAGCGTTTGCAGCTTCATCTCCTGCCAACACGATCTATAGGAGTAGGTTCGTGACCTAGCTCGTGGCAGCAACACGTCACCAGCATTCAGCATTACACCTGCGCCAAGAGCAGCTTGGACTTTCAGACAATGGTATCCTACGGCATGCCAGCACGCTTCTGAGCCCCAGCTGGAGCAACCTTCTTAACTTTGTGTGCACGGAAAGCTCCAGGATCATTAGTTTCCCGCCTGGTTCTTGCCAAGGTCGGAGTTTGCCGCGAAGCAGCAACAGTGGCTTTCTGAGAATGAATGCACTGCACGGTTTTGGGGCTTCGGGATTACATGGTATACACAGAGATTGTGGGCACCCAAGGTCCCTAGGCTTGACCTAGGACCGCTCCGTGCTTTGATCATCTTTTGCATGTGTCAACCCATTGATTAAAGGATAAGTACTGCGATTGAGGCAAGGGGTTCCTAGGTCATTGGTCTCGACCTACGACTCAGTCCCTCCCAAGCAATCAGAGCAAATACGACAATGAAGCCGCGAAGAGAACTGCCGTGTCTCTGGACTGCGCTGAACGATTACAAGGCACATTTTCGGACACGCCGCCGGAAGTGGGGCTCAGAGACGTAGTCATGAGTTAGGTGGAGCGCGGTGTTCGCTGGACTCGACAAGGC